ATATAATGTCCAAGCTATTGTGTCTACAGTGTCAAAAATACGCAGCTCTTGGCAGTATAAGGTATTGTTTGTCTTTAGTTTAATGTGATTCATGCATTCAGTGCTTACACACTTAGAACATTCCATACATAAGTCAAAGCCTAGGTTCAGGAGAGCACCATCGTTTATGTCCATGTTGATAGGCTGGAGCAAAGATTCAGCATTGTCTGCCAGCTCCTGGAAGAACTTGTGGAGACGCTGAGGCGACATGGATGCAAGCTCCTCATCTTGCTGTTTGATAGTCTCAAGGCCGGTTGCCTTGATGTCACCGCGAATCATTTCAATCACCTCATTCCAAAGCTGCACGGCCCAGACTATCGTATTCTTCACATAGGCAATAGTGGTCTCTTCACCCAGCATGATTCTGTCCATGATCATTCCCTCAATTGCCTGCTCCAAGGCAAACGGAATGTAGCATCTCTCTGTCTCCTTGCTTGAAGTGCCATGGCCATGCTTTTGCTTCTCAAAGCCCAGGATCCTTCTGAGGCTGTTGGGCAATTCCTTGTGCTTTTTGCACATGGCAGGCGCAGTCGCGCAAAGCAACTCCCAGTTCTGCTCTCTGCGTGCTGCACCCCACTTGCTCTCGAACATGCAGCCGGCGAAGTATCCTGGTAGTTTCTGCTTCTCAACTTCTTTGATTGGATACTCCACCCCGCTAGACTTGGCCTTTTGAAAAGCCAGGAAGATCTCATTCTTTTGCCAGATGGTTGCCATGCTTTTCTTCCCTGTCCCTTTCTTGTTGCCAGGCCCTTTCCCTCTCTTCTTCTTGACTGGTTTGAGCTGTAGGAGTGTTGCTGGCGTTTTTTCGCGAAGACGCCGTCTGACAACCTGTTGTTCACCATCAGGTTGTTGAGCAACTTGATGATGTAGGGGATCATCGGATGGAACCACTTGCGCATCTGGCAGGAGTCGTTGGCTAACACTCTCACCCTCAAACTTGCGCTTCAGACCTTTCTGCTCACTGTCAAGGGAAGGCTTCGGGTCAACCTTCCTAGCTTTCCTCTCATTGGGCACAGCTTGATTTGCAGCATGTGCTGCCTTGACTGTCTCAATCTTTTTTGGTGCCACCATGGGCTTGGCGGGCATTTCTTGCAGATCAATGTGCAACCAACACTCGCAGGTCACAAAGGATGCCAAAACCACTGCCTGCACCACAGTGCTGGTGAAGGAGTTCCCAGCCAATTCCTGTGCCAGGCCATTCTCTAGCATCTTGTCATATGCCTGGACATTCTCTGCATCTACGCGCCATATCCCTTGAGCATTGAGGTACTCCTGTGGCTTCACATATCTGGAAAGCAAATTCGAATAGATCTCATGCTTGGGAGTCACGCATGTCAGCACATTTGCCGCACTCTCCACATTCCGCTCTCTGGAAGTACTGCAATCCACAAAAATGTTTTCACCCTCTCCAGCCTGGGCATGGCAGCCAAGACCGATCTAGATATGATGTATAGATAAATATATAGAGTTACAATGAGTTAGATATTGGGATACCAAATCTGGAAATGTACATAAATCAACACACAACCCCAACACTTAGAACATGGTCAAGTCAGCAAAGGTCTCACCCTGCAGCCATGTAGCTGCACGGGCTTTCTCCATGGCTGCTGCCAGAATATCGCAAATCCGTGCACCACGTGGCTGTTCCTCTGGCTCATTTAGATCAAAGCATTCCTCCATCCGGAAATGGAAATGGGATTGCAGATGCTGAAGGACTGCTCCAAAGGCATGAGCGAGAGCTTTGCCATCATATCCACCGCTGCCAACGTTTGCTTTTGCAACACCATAGACCCTGTTTCGCCTTTGGCGTACAAGAAAGTGCTGTGAATCCAGCTTGGCAAAGGCCTAATGCTGATTTGGGAAATGGAAGAAAATCCATAATGTATTTTTGTATTTATATATATATATTTATTTATTCATGTAAATATACACAGAAACATATTGAAACCAAAGGATATAATATGGCAGTGGACAACTTGAGAAGGCATATATATATATATATATATATGTATGCAAAAAAAGGTACCCATGCGGCTGGAGCACAAAGTGATAACCCATTGACTCAGCATCTTCTTTCACCACCTCATGCTGGGTCAGTGGATTCAATGAGATGGGGTGGGGTGTATCTTCACTTAGAACATCCTACTCCACAGTTGAAAAAAAGGTGAGACTTTGTATCGGACTAGAAACCTCAATTTGTGGACGAGTGATTCCACCATCTTTGCTTCTTGAGCATTCCGTGACTGACCGCACATTCTCGTAGATGCTCACCGCGGGGTGCAGGTTCTCCATCACCTGAGCGGCTTGCGCACACACAAGATTTGCTTCCAACAGCTTGCTAGCAAAAAACTATCAAAAGCTACATCTATATACAGTACTATCTGTGTATATATATATACACATAAATAGATATATATTATATGTATACATATGAAAAGGTACACCTAGAAATTCTGAAAACATTGATGCAAAAACACGTGAACAAAAGCTGAAAGAGTAAAATAGCAAGCCTAGAGACGGCTTTAAATCCTGCCCGGTATGTAGGACCGCTGGTTCCATTGTTTCCCGATGACCCTTCATAGCACGCCGCGAAGTTTGTTCGGTTGGCATTCAATCTGCCTGGGCTGCTTTAAAACTTGCAAGACACACCCTTTGCATATGCACCCCGGCCCCAAAAAAAGAGAGACAAAAGGGCATCAGAGCATACTGTACCTGTATAAATAGTTTTAACAAACTCCAGGATGCTAACATCTTTGCAGCTTGGGCCGCATAGATGCAAGTCCACTGTCATAGAATCATCGATCTGATGGCTCCTGCCACATACATGGCAATAGCCCGACATGTCTTCAAAGGAATGGCAATCATCGAATAGGTGCTCTACCGTCGGATGAGCTGCAAGTATGTAGTCAGCCTTTTCCTTGTCCGCTTCAGCTGAAAAGATGTGGCGCAAGCCAATCTCAACCTCAGAATGGTGAGGGAATGACAATACACACAAGACCAAACCACTATATATATATATACACACCGTTTACAACTCTATATATATACTGCATACTTCTTGTAGCTCTAGTTTCACCGATCATTGTTCTGGTTGGAAAGAGTGTACACTTAGAACATTCTGTATGATCTTGCTTAGAAACGTTGAACTCCTTGTTCATCGCTTGAAGAAGGGCGCGGATTGCAACCATGCAGATATCGGATCCAGAGCAAGCCGTCCCAACCCTGAGAATGCGCTTGTTCATCACACCGGCAACCCTGGCAAGCCTTTCCTGATATCTGGGAGGTAGTAGCTTCATAAAGAACTGAGCCGTCTCAAAGAGGGAAGGAGCTGGCGCTGGCAGATCCATCACTTGGTACAGGTTCTTCTTCTTGCAAGTGAAATGTCTGTTTCGGAACTTTCCAGAAGCAAATCTGATCCTGATAGGATTGTCCAAAGGTGTGACTGTTGCCACACGCCACGCAAAGACTTTCTCCCGCTCCCGAACCCTGTTTGCCCAGGTCTTGGATTCCAAAACATTCAGCATAAAGCTTTTCCATGGATAAAACCTCTTCACTTGCTCACATTTGTCCAGCGTGATAAGCCCGACGTGCTCACACTGGGTTCCAGCATTGTCGGAGATGATAATGTGGAAGGTAGAGGGAAACTGGTTCAAAGCATAGCTGCGAAAGAGGTAGATCGGTGATGTGTCACCTCGCACAAGAGACCGCCAAGTCTCCTCACGAAGCATAAGGCAGGAAACCATCTCAGACCCTCCTGATCTGGGGGTATGCGCTGGGCTGGCCAAATTCTTGTTCATTGGTGTAGCAACTTTCCTGCCTTGCTCGGTAGATATCTCTGGAGCGTCCACTTCATCATGCTTTCTCTTCATTGGGTTGGACACGAGAATGTGAGATTTCTTTGATTTCTTGATCTCGTCCAAAGCCCGTTTCCCCTCAGTGCCCTCAAGACTGGGTCCAGTATTGCTAAAATCTTTTCTCATTTGTCGTAATCTCTTTGCTTTCCCAACAGCAGCAGCAGATACCTCAATCAAGCTGCTATTGCTGCTTGCAACAGTGTCAGGTGACTCCTCTTTAACTTCCGGCTTGACTTTTGCTGGCTTGGGAGTTACCCAAAACTGCAATGGTGCTTGAGCCTGGTGTTTAGCTGCTCGCGGTGGTGCTTGAAATGGTTGCTTGCATAAGGCTGCAGGTTGGCTCGATGGTTTGCTTGTTTGGGCACGATTGCAAATTGCTGGTGGTAGCGGAGCTGTTGATTCATCTGCTCGTTCTATCTTGACTCCT